TTTGTGATTAAAAATAAACAGTTAATTAATGGCTAATTGATGTGTTTGTGTATCGCCACTTTACAGAATTTTTAAATAGCTAAATTTATATTTCACCAAATCTAAAATTTCAACCACTAAAAGCTACTATTTCTGTTTTTTTTTTTTTTGAGAATTTCTACTACTTTAAATTCGCTAATACTAGAAATCAAAAAACTATTCTCGAAAATTATAATCAAATTCTTTAAAACGATTCTATTATTTTCAAAAAATATTTGAAATTCAATTATTTTCAATATCTAGTATTTTCATGAAATTGCGCAAAAGAATTCAATTATTTAAAAAAATAATTGATAAAATTCATCCAAAATTCAATTATTTTTATAAATAATAAAATTCTTCTCAGGAATCTAACAATATTCATCACAAGAATTCAATTATTTTTAAAAGCATTAAATTTCTTCTTGGAGAGTCAATTATTTAAAAAAATTCTAATAAAATTCTTAGCAACCATTCAATTATTTTCATAAATAATAAAATTCATCGCAGGATTTCAATTATTTTTAATACAATTTTACAGGAATTTCGCAAAAAATGTAATTATTCTAAAAAATTTGATTTCAATTCCTCGCAAAAATTAATTATTTAAAAAAGCGTTTTTTTAAAATTTTTTGGAAGAATTCAATTATTTACAAAACTATTAGAATTTTTCACATGAATTCAATTATTTTCAAATATTTTAATAAAATTGTTCTAAAGAAATCAATTATTTTAAATACAATTTTAATTAAATTTTTTTCAAATAATTTAATTATTCTTTTAGATTTTCATAAAATTTTTCCCAAGAATTCAATTATTAACATAAATAATTCTTCGAAAGAATTCAATTATTAAAGATAAATAACTAATTATTCTCGAAAATTCAATTATTTTGAGATATTTTATTAAAATTCTATGCAAAATTCAATTGTTTTCATAAATAACAGTATTCATCACAAGAATTCAATTATTTTTTAAAGTAATAAATCTCTTCTTGAAAATTCAAATATTTTTAAATAATACAATTAAATCGTTCTGAAGAATTCAATTTTTTTCATAAATGATAAAATGCTTTTTAGGAATTCAATTATTTTCAAAAAAATTTAATGAAATACCACACAAACATTCAATTATTGACCAAAATTTTAATAGAATTCTTTGTAAAATTTACTTAAATTTAAAAACTTTTTGCAATTCAAAGATTTTCAATATTTACTATTTTCATAAAATTTCCAAACAGAATTCAATTATTTAAAAAAAAATTTTGTAAAAATCTTCGTAAGAATTCAATTCTTTACATGAATAATAAAAACTTCTCAGGAATTCAATTATTTAAATTAGAATTTGCATAAAATTGGTCGATAGAAATTAATTATTTAATAATTTTTATAAAATTCTTCTGAAGAATTAAATTATTTTTATAAATATTTAAATTCTTTCATATAAATAATAAAATTCGTTGCAGGAATTCAATTTTTTAAATAGGATAAGAAAGAAGTAAATATTTTTTATGAAAATTAGTCAATAATTTTGGAAAATATCTATATTTATCTTCAGATATAGAATTCAGTTAATTAACTATTTATCTTTATACGGTTATAATTCATTATTTCTATAATTATGTTGTTATTTTTTTTTTATTTTATTTTATCAGATATTTTTAAAAATATTTTGTTTCATTTTGTTTTATTATTTTTCAATGTTATTTTACTATTTTTTATTTTTATTTTATTATTTTTTGTTTTATTTTGTTATTATAATTTTTTACGACTTTTGAGAATGTTTTTGTTAGTTGGCAATTAGAAATAATAAACGGAGAGAGAGAGAGAGAGAGAGAGAGAGAGAGAGAGAGAGAGAGAGAGAGAGAGAGAGAGAGAGAGAGAGAGAGAACATGAATGTGTATATGTCAAATATTATATCACCGTTACAAACTCCTGCGGTAGTAACTTCAATTTAGATGGTCTAATGCTTGATAAACCTCGGGTTTAAATTGTGAGCCAACTTGATACGATGTTATCCCGAAGGAGTTATATTATTGATCTTCCTGAGAAAATTCCCAATTCCTTCAACCCCCCCAGGAATACTTCGTCAATGGAGTCATTCTATAGGGAAACATAGATTAATTATAAGTCAAAATATTGAATTATATATATAATGCCATCCCCAAAGGACTTGTGGTCCTCAGGTTCTAAATCAGAAAAGAATTTTCCAAATTTTATCGAAATTTAGTGGAAAACTACTAAATTTGTAAAATAAAAAAAATTTCCAAAAATCGCTAAAAGCAAATAATTGATATTTTTATTTAAAAAATTAGTAGTAAAAAGTTTTAGTCAGAACGAAACAATCGGTGGAAATAAATTAATTATACACTCAAATATATATTATTTACACATTCTTTTTTTTTATTCAAGTAAGAACATTACAATCTACATATTTATTTACAATCGATGAATAAAAATCTAATCGACTACCGGCAAAAAAAAACATTTTTTTTATATTTATATTAAAAAATTCTTGAGCCACATTTTGAGAAATAGAATTAAAAATTTATCGACGAAACAATGAACATCTTTTTTCTCCTTTTTGTCATTTGATCGAGGATTATTTTAAAAACAGTGTTATAAAAAGCTTTCCATTTATTACAAATACACATTTTTTTTGTCATGATAGAAAAAGGAGGACGTTGATAATTGTTTACAATTTCTTTTTTTCAAAAATATTTTCACCAAGCGCAGAAAAAAAAATTTATTTTCAAAAATTTAACTTAATTTGCTTTTATTGAAAATTTTTTCTGCAAATAACATTCTACTATAGGTAATTTATTTTTGTTTATATATTTTGCAATGACTGTACATTTATTTACATGCATATTTGTGCATACTTGATATAGAAATAAATTAAATTTTTTTTTTTCAATTTTTAATAATTTTAACTAAAGATTTTTTTATATTTAGTCGAAATTAAAGAAAAAAAATTGAAAGCGTACAGTTTTTTTATAGAAATAAATTAAAAATATATTGAGACATGTCTTAATATTTTTTTTAATTTACTTCTACAAAAAAAAGTAAAAAAATTGTAAGTTTTCAATTTTTTTTTCTATTTTAGAGTTGAAATTGAGGAAAAAAAATTGAAGGCATACAATTTTTTATATTTTTTTTATAGAAATAAATTAAAAATATATTAAGACATATCTTATAATATATTTTTTAATTTACTTCTATAAAAAAATACAAAAAATTGTATGCTTTCAATTTTTTTTTCTACTCTGGTTAAAATTGAAGAAAAAAATTGAAAGCACAAAAAAATGTTGCAATAGTTTTTCCTTTGAATTAATATAAAATACATATTTCATGATATTTTTACAGTAAAATGTAATTTTTCTTTCTTTCAGTAACAAGTAGATTTATTCTCACAAATAACAATAACAAGCGTAGCGTTTCTCAATGTCGAAACGATATCTTATAATCTTTGATCATAAGAAAACACTCGATAAGAATATTGTCTCTTTTATATGTGCGTAGAAATAAGTAACAAATATATTACACATACCTTTAGATTAATAAAATTAAAAAAAAAAAAAAAGAAAAAAGAAAAGAAGGAAAAAAGAAGAAAAGTAAAGGTTGCGAATAAACTAAAAAAAGAATACCGATTTTTCTTTGATATAAAACTAGATCTTGCTTATGATTTGTACATAAAGATTATGGACTAAATATCAGAAACTGACTTGCAAAAAAAAAATAATAATAATATTAACAATAATTATTATTATAATAGCAATAATAATAATAAAAATAATTATAATAGTAATTATAATAATAAAAATAATTATAATAGTAATAATAATAATAATAATAATAATAATAATAATAATAATAATAATAATAATAATAATAATAATAATAATAATAATAATAATAATAATAATAATAATAATAATAATAATAATAATAATTATAATAATAATAATAATAATAATATTAACAATAGTAATAAAAATAGCAGTTTTAAAAATAATATTAAAATTAATAATTAACACTAGATAATATTAATGATAAAATAATTAACTAAAAATAATAATAGTAATAATAATAACTATTATAATTATATTATAGATTTCATATTTGGTATATAAATATTATATTTACATTCTCACTCTGTGTATATTATTAAAGCGCCTAGACTTAACAGTTCATCATTTACATAATTTACATTGGTACAAAGAAAGAGGGATGTTTTTGCGAACAATCGATCAGTCTTTAAATGAACTTTTTTATTATTATTATTATTATAACTTAAAACTCAAAGTCAAAGCGCTTCTTTAAAATATTCAAATTTTTTTTTTTTTCAATTAAAATAACTTTTTCTATATTATAAGCAAAAAAGCAAAGCAATTTTCTCAACCAACTTTCTTCCATAAATTATAAAAAAATATAAATGCAAATATTTTTAATTCTTTAAAGCCGCAATTTTCTAATTAAAGAGAAAAAAAATATTCTGAATTATAAAAAATCACAATTTATGATATCTTTTTTTGCATTTTTATAATTTTGGTAAATATTTTCATTTTTCTAAAAAAATATTCTCAGTTTGTCAGATATGCAATGTTTTAAATTTAAATTTTTTCTTTGGATTGATTTTTCTTTAGATATAATTAAAAATGTATTTTTTGGATTATAATAAAAATATTTTCTAAATTTTTGGATATATTTGTATGTATTTGTACATATATGTTTTATATGTAGAGTCGACTGATCTAACAAACCCTCGCAAAAAAATATCTTTATCTTTTTTTTTTAATGTTATGTTTGGAAAAAATTTTTACTTTTAAAAACAAATTTTTTTTTAAAAAGTATTTTCTTTCTCTCTTAATTTTAATTTTGTTAAAATATTTACTAATTTGAATTAGTGACTGACTTTTTGCTTTTCAAATTCAAAATAGTAAATTTTACTAATAAATAATAATTTCTAATAATTTACTAACAAAATTTACTGATTCAAAAGCAAAAAGTCGGCTGACTTTTTGATTTTGATTGACAAATTGAAATTTAGTAAACATTTTTACTAATTCAATTTTAGAGAGAGAAGGAACTGATTTCTCCTTTATAATCTGGATAAATTTCGTCATTATCTTTCGACACGAAACATTTAATGAATTTCGAAAAATTTTCTTTTGTCGAATTTCGTTTTTGGTTTGGTTTTGAAAAAAAGGTGAAAAAAGCTTATGATATTAATAATGCTTATTTTAAACATTGTTGTCAATGCTGTTCTCGTCTTGAACAACTTGTTCGGATTGCGGCTGACGATTTACACAATCGCGCACTGCTTGTAATATAATGCCGACCCTTCTGTCAACTGCGGCGTAATGCGGTTCCCACAGAACTGGCGACACGGGATCAAATGACAAGCTTTCACGAAGGGCATCGCCCAAAGTCAGGGGTCCATTGTGATACCTGAAATCAAATGTCAATTGATAATTGTAAATGCGAAAAATGCATTTGAGAAATATTTAAAAAAAACCATGAATCTCTAAAAAAAAATGCGTGGACAAAAATTATTATCTTCTGCAATATAGCTGTAAATTTTACTGTGTTAACGAAATTTTTTATAAACTTTCGTCACAATAATTCAATTATTTATATAAATAATAAAACTCATCGCATTTTAATTATTATAAAACTAGAAATGATTGCAGAAATTTAATTATTTTTAAAAGAAATAAAATTCCTTGTAAAAATTCAATTATTTTCTAAAGGAATAACATTCTTCGCAGAAATTCAGTTATGTTAAAATTTTTTTTAAAATTCTCAAAATTTTTATTATATTTAGAAATAATAAAATTCTTCATCAAAATTCAATTATTTTCAAAAATTTTAATCAAATACTTTAAAAAATTCAATTATTTTCAAAAATTTTCCTCAATTAAATAAATTTTAATATCTACTATTTTAATAAAATCTTTCAACAAAATTCAATTATTTAAAAAAATTTTTTGATAAAATTCTACGCAAAAATTTAATTATTTTCATAAATAATAAAACTCATCGGCCAAATTCAATTATTTTTAATACAATTATATTCGAATTCCTCGAAAAATGTAATTATTCTTAAAATTTTTATTAAAATTCGTCAAATGAATTCCTTTTTTAAAAATTTGTTGGTAAAATTCTTTATGAGAATTCAATTTTAAGAAACATTCAATTATTAATAAATTATTTATTTTCGTATTTAAATAATTGAGTTCTCGTAGAATTTTCTAATTTTTAACAACAATTTATTCAAAGATAAATTTCAGTTAAAATTTTAAATAATAACTGAATATTAAAATCATGAATTTTTAGAAATAATTGAATTTTGAAAAGGTTTCAAATTAAAATCTTTGAAAATCGTAGTAATTTTTCATACTTTTAACTAACAATTCTGTAGAATTATTATTTTTTTTTTTGAAAAATGTTTATTAGAATTTTTTTGAAATTATTTAAAGTTTTTTTATTTTCTAATAAATATTTTATTGAAGAATTTTCGAATAATTGAAATTTCGTTATATTTCGTGAAATTGAATTGTAAACAAATGGAATTGAAAATTCACAAAGAATTTTTTTTTTAAATTATTAGAAATATTTGATTTCAAGAAGAATTTTAGTTGAAAAATCGAGAAAATAATAATTTAATTGAAATGATGAAAAAAAATTTTATTACCTTATTTATTAATAATTTTTATTTTTATTAAATATTTTTATCTTTGAAAAATATAGGAATATAATATAAAATAATATTGTAATAAAAATATAATTTATTTCGAATTATATTATAAGTGGAAAGTAGTAAAAGTCAATTTGCAGTCAGACGTAAATATTCTCACGCAAATTCAACTAGCATTGTGTATTTAAGTGGAAAGTCGTAAAATTAATTACTTTGTTAGTTAATCTAACCCTGTTTGTTTGTGTAATTAATTTTACTATTTTTATGCAGTTAAAAATAGTTTAGTTTCCTAAAATACGTATAGTTAAATTCCATAAATAATGAAATTAATTCAGATTAAGAATTGTTTTTAGTGTGGAATATCAGTAGTAAACATCAATTTTGGTCAGACGTCTATTTTTCTGTATAAAGAGGAGTAGACATGACTTCTCAGGTAAACAAAATTTTTTATATAAGTATTAAAAATAGTTACATTTAAAATATTGTTATTTTTATAGAATTTAAAAGTTAGTAGAGAAGGCCAATTTTAGTCAGACAGTGATTTTTATTTATATATGAAAAAAAAATCGATATCGGAGATGATTTTGCTACAAGTAGTAAAAAATACAGTTTCAGTCAGGCAGAAGAATATCAGTAGTAGAGATAAATTTTCTGTCAGACAAATATAGTCCTAACCTTTTGTCAATTTGCTTCTATTTTTCTTTTCTTTGATTTTTTTTTAATAAAATTCTTCTAAAGAATTCAATTATTTTAATAAATTGTAAAATTATTTCGTAAGAATTCAATTATCTTTATAAATAATAAAATTATTTTCAGGAATTCAATTATTATTGAAAAAATTCAAATTTTTTGCCAAATAATTTATCATTAATAATTTTTTTTTAAGTAAGTTAAATATTCTATATTCCGGAAAAATCAATTATATTGACAGAAATTAAGAATTTTTTTTTATTCTAATTCTAGAAACTTAATGTGTTTTTCGATATTTGTGATAATTTCTTTAGTGTCAATTAGTTATATTTTTCTTTAATTATAAAAAAAATTTTTACAATTGCTCCAAATTCGTAAAATAAAAATATATTTTCTACTGAAAATTAGAATAAAAAAACAAATTTTATACGCTTTATAGAGAATTTTAAGAAATTTGATATACGAACGAATAAATAATAATCGAGAATTATACATAAGTGACGTTTAATATTTTTTAAGCAATTTATGACACACGATAAAATAGGAATGACAATCAGTTGAATTGCATTTTGACGTACGCATCATCGGTAAATTCTCGTTGCCTGTTTCAAGTATACATATTCCATTAAAATCATATTTTGTCTGGTCCTCTCGGTCAATTTCGTGCTTATAAATGGTATTTTGATTCACAAAAAAATTTTTTTTTTTCTTCTCTATTCCTATTATTTGCGATTATATTATACGAGGTACTTTAACTCGCAAAATTACAAGTCATTCATTATATTTTCCTTTCCACTTATTCAATTGTCCTTTTCACTCTATTCTACATCTTCTTGAAATTTATGTCATCTTTTCTTGTATTCTTTTCTTTAGATATTTTAAGGAAATTTTTACGAAATTTATTTTTTATGTAAAATTTTTTAGGTTTTAAAAAAAAGAGGAGAAAAATTTATTTTAGAGAGAAAAAAGAAAAATTTAGCTTCATCCAATTTATTATCGTTTTTTCGACTATTTTTGTTATTTTTGTTAGTTTCGTTTTTTTTTAATTTGGCGAAATTTTAGTGTAAATTAATCGAACTGAATTAAAGTTCACTTTCCTGTAACTAGAAAGTGGATCATAATTTAATTTCCTGCCAATGATAACCCAGCGAATATTACACGTGAAAAGCTCATGTTTCTAGTACAATTTTCCATTTATATTCTTCTCTTGATTTTAGTATTAAAATATATTGGATGACAATTTCCAACATAAAACAGGGTTCCTACAGAATATGGAAATCATGGAAATTTTTAAAAGACTTCTGGAAATCAGGGAAATCATGGAAAAGGCCTGGAATTTTTAAAAGTTTCTAAATTTTTCCTGTTTTCCATTTTTTCTCTTGAATAAAAATTCAAATAATAAAAAAGCTAAATGGCATAAAAGAGAGAAAAAAATGTTGAATTTTAAAACATTCGTTTTTTTGAATTTTTTCGAATTTTTGATAATTTTAGATTTTTTACCAAAGAGTCGAGACTATTAAAAAAGTAAAGTGTTTTCCAAAAGCACAAAAATAATGAAGCTAAATCCCATAAAAGAGAGGGAAAAATGTTGAATTTTAAGAAATTCGAATTTTTGAATTTTTGATAATTTTTGATATTTTTAGATTTTTTACCAAAGAGTCGAGACTATTAAATAAGTAAAGTGTTTTTCAAAAGCACAAAAATAATGAAGCTAAATCACATAAAAGAGAGGGGACAATGTTGAATTTTAAGAAATTCGAATTTTTGATAATTTTCGATAATTTTAGATTTTTTACCAAAGAGTCGAGACTATTAAATAAGTAAAGTGTTTTCCAAAAGCACAAAAATAGTGAAGCTAAATCCCATAAAAGAGAGAAAAAAATGTTGAATTTTAAGAAATTCGTTTTTTTGAATTTTTTCGAATTTTTGATAATTTTAGATTTTTTACCAAAGAGTCGAGACTATTAAATAAGTAAAGTGTTTTCCAAAAGCACAAAAATAATGAAGCTAAATCACGTAAAAGAGAGGGAAAAATGTTGAATTTTAAGAAATTCGAATTTTTGATAATTTTCGATAATTTTAGATTTTTTACCAAAGAGTCGAGACTATTAAATAAGTAAAGTGTTTTCCAAAAGCACAAAAATAGTGAAGCTAAATCCCATAAAAGAGAGAAAAAAATGTTGAATTTTAAGAAATTCGTTTTTTTGAATTTTTTCGAATTTTTGATAATTTTAGATTTTTTACCAAAGAGTCGAGACTATTAAATAAGTAAAGTGTTTTCCAAAAGCACAAAAATAATGAAGCTAAATCACGTAAAAGAGAGGGAAAAATGTTGAATTTTAAGAAATTCGAATTTTTGAATTTTTGATAATTTTCGATAATTTTAGATTTTTTACCAAAGAGTCGAGACTATTAAATAAGTAAAGTGTTTTCCAAAAGCACAAAAATAATGAAGCTAAATCACATAAAAGAGAGGGAAAAATGTTGAATTTTAAGAAATTCGAATTTTTGAATTTTTGATAATTTTCGATAATTTTAGATTTTTACCAAAGATTCGAGACTATTGATTAAGTATAGTGTTTTCTAAAAGCACAAAAATAATGAAGCTAAATCACATAAAAGAGAGGGAAAAATGTTGAATTGTAAGAAATTCGAATTTTTGAATTTTTGATAATTTTCGATAATTTTAGATTTTTTACCAAAGAGTCGAGACTATTAAGTAAGTAAAGTGTTTTTGAAGAGCACAAAAATAATGAAGCTAAATCCCATAAAAGAGAGGGAAAAATGTTGAATTTTAAGAAATTCGTTTTTTTGAATTTTTGATAATTTTCGATAATTTTAGATTTTTTACCAAAGAGTCGACACTATTGATTAAGTATAGTGTTTTCTAAAAACACAAAAATAATGAAGCTAAATCACATAAAAGAGAGGGAAAAATGTTGAATTTTAAGAAATTCGAATTTTTGAATTTTTGATAATTTTCGATAATTTTAGATTATTGTCATTATTACATTGAAAAGAAAATTATTTGATTTAAATAGACAAGTGTCTATTATTAAAT